ACTGGGTACAGATGATGGGTACACCTGAGTCCTCAGGAATGGCAACGCATGGGGGGTATCATGGGCGAAACAGTATACTCGTGTTATGTCCATGGTACAGCTCATGTCTATAGGCGACGGTTACCACTTTCCATCAGATGGGCCGTCAGCTTGTTTGCCATTCTAAGTTGTATAAAAAAAAATGCTCAGAGTTTCTTTGGCTGGCATAATCCGAAATGAGGATATCCGCAAAAGAACTAAAATGACTGACAAAGCTCGAAGGATAAGCAAGCTGAAGTGGCTATGGGCTGGTAACATAGCTCGAAGAACCGACAACCGATGGGAAAGAAAGCTTCTTGAATGACGATCCCGTATAGACAAACTTAGTATAGCATGACTCCCTGCTAGATGAAGCGATGACCTCAAATGCATTGCAGGGAATCAGTAGATGCAGGTGACTCAGGACCGTTCCTAATGACAACCTACGTAGGAGACATCTGTTTTTTTTTAATGGGTGATAATGGTATGGTAACCCCTAGTAATACACTGGCGAGGCACCAGTGAAGGATGACAGATGAAGATGAAAGTAGGTCAGTTAGCCCATACCGACGAATTAAATTAGAATTAGTCACGATGGGTTCCAGGGGAAACCACGTGGAGGTCGACCTGACAGGGTATATTGCTAGTAATGGGCTATTTGACCCCATTACTAACAATCCCTTTCCCCCGGAGACATCTGTTTAGTAGTGTACGCTTAATGGCTGACTTTAAGATATCTTTTGTCCTATTTCAAACAATTTTAATTGAAAATACTAAACATTTAATAAAAACTATAAATGTTTTGTCCTTTTCTTTTGCATTAATTTCTCAATTTGGAAAAAAACAGTGATTCTCTTATTAACTTTAATAGTTAAAATAGGTTTGTACAACGCAGTTTTTATGAATAACGGGATAAGTCCATAAAGGCGTTCGGGAATGAAAAAGTTTGGGAACCACTGATCTAGATTAAAGCTAGGGTCAGGATAAATGATGAAAATTCCACTCGGGTCAACCCGATAATAAAGTTCACCAAATTAAATTCCTTCGTTCGTATACAGTGAACGGATTAAGACATAAGTAGGTACGAATATGAACCCTGTACACGAGCTCGATACACGAGCGTGGATTGTAAATGTATTATGCATGAGGTAAGTGTTTACTCTTCATAACTTAAAAGCGACGTACAAACTGTTTTGTATAGCGCGTTGTATATTTTTCTTTAAATTGACGCTCAGGTTACGGAATGAGCTCCCTGTCGAGGTTTCTCCGAGAGATTACAACATGGAGTTTTTCGAAAAAGGGATAAATAGGTTTATTTATTATTTATTTATTCATTAGTACATATATGTGTGCATGGCGGACTTAATGCTAAAAGCGTTCTCTCCCAGTCAACCATAGGCAAGTGTCAGAATACTCGAATGCGGTACTACTAATTATAGATATACATACATACTAAAATTACATATATAAACGAATAAATATATATAAATAACAAATATACTTACACATATATGACATATACTATATTATATACGAAATTGAGAATAATATAAAGTAGGTTTCTTTAGAGACAGCAACGCGCTCGTAATACTCCTGGTATTGCAGGCGTTCATATGCTACTGCAACCGCTTACCGTCAGACGGGGCGTATGCTTGTTTGCCACCTCAGTGGTATAAAAAAACGATTAAATAAACGCTCTCAGAAATAAATATCATAAAATTTACTGTATAACTATGTTAAAGCAAGTGCTGTGAATACCTATAATAGGCATGTGCATTAATATTGTATTATATTTAATGTTTGTTATATGTGTTATAATGCAATATGCTGTTGGTGTTCCTTAAATAAATAAACAAATAAATAAAATTTTATGTAAGTAAAATACTGGCCGTGTCGTCCCGGCATAGAATCCGTCACCCCTTCCTTTCCCGTGAGTGTTTTAAATGCCGACTAAGGGAGATCAGCGTGCATAATGGGCAGCAGCGTCCCATTTAAAACATATTCCTTTTTAAATCGCCAGCAACACACCCGCAATGCCGTTAGTGCTGTGGGTGATCATGGGCGACGGTAGTCACTTACCACCAGGTGAGCCGCATGCTCGTTTGTCCCCTGTATTGTAAAAAAAAAAAATTCTAAAACCTAATCATCCATCTTGCTGAATCCCAGGTGTATTCATCACGATGGGCACACACACGACACATCCTTATCATTCTCACCTATCACCCCTCACTGGTGCCCCGCCAGCGTATACCGTTAACGCAGTCGGGGTCACCATTATATTATCATCCGTTAAAAAAATAAAAAAGAACTTCCCCCCCCCCCCTACTCTCCCTCGTACGCTGAGTAATATAGTAAAGTGAGTGTAACTCGAGGCAAGTACCTTTAATGACACCTTTTTACATTGTAAATGACAGCATAAGATGTGCCCAATTTACATAACATTAGCTCGCTTTTCAAGAGCTTTAATTACAGTTACAGAGGTGTACTTGTAAACAAAAAGCACTAGGTGGGGATAAGTAAGAATGGATTACCATTCATATCTACCAATGAAGATAATTCCCCCCCCCCCCCCCCCCCCCCCAGTGAGGAAACGTTGGTACGAACAAGTGGAACTGACTAGATATTTTTAACCGCTTTATTCATAAAAATTTAAACCAACTTAGAATGGCAAACAAGCTGATAGCCACCTGATGGAAAGTGGTAACCGTCGCCTATGGACATGAGCAGTACCATGGACATAACAGAGTATACTGTTTCGCCCATGATACCCCCCATGTGTTGCCATTCCTGAGGACTCAGTTGTTATTCCTCTATACTCTGTAAATTCACTGCCATATGCCACCCTTCAAACCGAAACACAGTCATGCAAACACAACTGCTTCACGGTAGAAACACGAATAGGACAGAGGTACCCAAGCAAACGGCTTTTGTACAAAGTCTGGTATTACTCAACTTAGCACATAGAATGCTTTATATACCAATTCACGCGGATAAAGCCGCGAAATATAGCTATATATACAAAAAAATTACAGGGTGGAAGTGAACAGTACTTTTTGTAGTTCATTAAAAATAGATTTGCCCAAGAAACTAACGTACATACTGTAGTTACGCTATGTATATCGATTTACCACGAACAAACAGAAATTCAAGGTCTGGGCAAGTTCGTAGTGTGTCTAACAACAGTAATTTGTCCATACATCATTCTAAGTTCGTTTGAAAAATTCAAATATTATTTCTATACTTATTTATATACTTATAACTTTAACTTTTATTTAACTTTGTTTTACCATATATACATTATTTTTAGAAATTTTAAATTTATCGTACTACAATTATTATATTCGACTGCCATCTTGCAATCGTATTGCGGAATATAAAAATCGTGATTAAAAAACAGGTTTTGATCGTAAAAGGGTGAAAATTTGAAGTTGTATGTATTTTTCAATGCTAAATCACAATAAAATAAAAATAAAAAATTTCTCCAAACAAAAATTTAGGATTGAGTCACCCTTATCATTGAGGGGTATAAAAAATAGATGTTAGCCGATTCTCAGACCTACCCGATATGCACACAAAATTTTATAAAAAACGGTTATGCCGTTTCGGAAGAGTTTGGTAACAAACACCGCGACACGAGAATTTTATATATTAGATTTAGACACGAATAAGACAGGGGTATCCAAGCAAACGACTTTTGTACAAAGTCTCCCGCTGGTAGGAGTCTTTCTCCTCCTCCCTTGGCTTCACGGGAGGTTCTGAATATATAATTCTCTATTAAAATAAATAAATAGAAAATAAAAATACCTGTTACACACAAAAATTAGAAGTCATCTTTAAGAAAAAAGCGAACTCCACAAATCACAAAAGTTCGCAGTATTACATGGTTTTTACCTAACAAAGCCAATTATATTTACTAATTCGTAAAATATACCTAATACCCATAGATGTGGGAAGATACTGTTAAAAACGGAAACTAAGGATCCCATGTTTAGCAATATATCCAGTTAGGATGCCCATCTCATCCTACACACGTATCTCCTAAAAACTATCGCTGTTAATTCTTGATAAATTCGTCATAGTGGATCAAGTGACTTGCTCTCATCCACAGCTATTATCCCTCGCTGATGCCCCACCTTCTAGTGGCTTCTAGTGGATTTCATTCATCTTCGCCAATCTTCAACGGATTCTAATGAAAATTTATTCCTCGAAAAAATACCGACTTTAATCGTGGCATAACCAATTATTTTGATTTAAATTAAACTACTAAACCGATTCTAATAAAACTATTAGGGACCAATTAAAAAGTATATCCTTTAAGATAAAAAAAAACAAAATCGGTTTTCTAAATGGCGGAGTTATGAGATAACAAACACAAAAAATAAAGCCAAATTGAGAGTCTCTTGTTGTTTTGAAAACGATTAAACAGGTACAGGCCAATTGAGAATCTTGTCCTGTATTTAAATCGCTTAAAAATGTATATGCGAACGTATATAATTATCAGAAAGTTTTATATAACGTATATATGTATTCACTGCAGTGAAATACGCTAAACACCGTTCCTTATGGTGTGCTAACACGAAATAAAATTCCATTTAAAATTTGCTTGGAGCTATTCCGTAAAATTGCCACAAAATATTCCTATGTAATGAGGTTTAGGGCCGGACTAAGGGATTAGAGCGGGGGCAGGAGGAAATTTCAAAATTAATTTATCACTAGCTATTGAGTTGTAAACTTACTATTTCTCAAATGTTCACTTCAACTACGCACTGCGTATATTCTCTATTTTCCTTTCATATTGTTTGAAGAGTAATAGTTAGGTTTACATTTTATATCTATTTATGTAAATGAAACAATATATCTTCTCAGTATGAACATTTCTTGTAATTGTTTGTATCTATAATAAGTTTACTACTGTAATCTTTTGGAGGAAACAATAAAGAGTGTATCTATCTATTTTCACTGTTTTAAACATACATCACAGTCTACAACTTTACACATTTAATTTTATTTTAATTATTACCGGCAACATACATGCAACTCCTCTCGTGTTGCAGGTGTTCATAGACGACGGTGACCGCTTTTCATCAGGTGGACTGTCTGCTCGTTTGCCCCCCTAATAAAAAATAAAATAATTTTAATTAATTATTAATCAGCTCTAATCTAAAAATTAACATTTATTTATGTCTGTAACTATACAGTACGTTACTGTAACATAAAAAGTTAATAAAAAACTTTTGCTTGTCTTAGAGAACCCCTTTAGCCCCAATAAAATAGGCCCTAAAGCCGACACTGGCCAATAAAACGAGCATACCTTATAATAATGCAGATTAGGTTTATTGTAAGAACTAATAAAAAAGTTTTTGGAAGCGACTTAGCACCGACTTACAACAGTTATTTTAATAGCTACAACTATTATTAGACAACAGGGTCAATTTTGTGCGGTCATTTCTCTAAACCTATCACAAAAATTTAAAAAAAATTGGATATAACAGCGTGTTCTTCATTCTAAGGATCAATATGAACTTAATTTCTATTAGATTTAAGTCAAATAAGTAAATTACTATAAATTTAATGTACGATAATCTATAAAAATTTGAGAAATTATCAAATTTGTTCAATACTTATATATCTTGTAATTATTTATATTTATAATAAGTTTGCTTCACACTTCACGTTCCTTTCAGCAACCATAGATTATGCAATAACAGACTGCATTTTCTGTTCCGCATTATGTGGCCCTAATACAGAAACTTACGGCTCTTTATAACGTTTAATATTTCTACCTTTTTGTTTATTCTTTACAAAATTTGGTATGAAGAAGGACAATAGATAAAAAGAATTACACCGGTATTTGCAATTATTCTACCTAATCTCACGAACGAAGTTGTGACTCAGGCTCCCGTATGGTCCCGACCTAGAATAGACCACCCCTTCCTTTCTTGTGAGTGTCTTATAAATTGACTAAAGAAGGGCAACAACGAAGTCGTGGCCCAGACTCCCGCGTGGTCCCGACATAGAATAGACCACCCCTTCCTTTCCTGTGGATACCGTAAGAGGTGACTAAGGGAGGGTAAGGGATGGGCAGCATCTTCCCTTTTAAAACATCTCCAAAGCCAAAACCAAACATCTCCAAGGCAAAACCCTCCTAGGGGGAGGTTTATGTTCAGCAATGGACAGTTAAAAGCTGATATAAGGAACAATACCGCAGTTAAAAAGTAGTGATTAAATAAAATCTGTGAACTAGATAAAACAGCCTGACCTAATTGCATGTCTGATGAAGCAATAAACGTATTGATCACGTTGCAATACTACTAATTGGAAACATTTAATTATCTACTAACTCGATGGACCAAATAACTATCGTCTAATAAACAAAATAATCTGTACTGCAGGTCAGAATTAGCCATGATGGTTTCTAGCGGAAGAACCACGTAGAGGTCGACCTAATAGGGTATATTGCTAGCAATGGGGCTATCAAACCCCATTACTAACAATCCCTTTCCACCTAGAAATCTGTATTATTACAGATTCCAAAGTATAGTATTCTATGTTTTATATGGTATGATTTCTATGGTTATACAGGGTGTAAAGGACATATTGTCCAAAACGAAAACAACTGATTCAGATGAATGGTCTAAATCAGATGGTAGATTATTTTCCCACCGGAAATGCGCCACAGCCATTTAATTAACGATTCTTAGTTTTGACGCCGCGCAATGTATATGAAATTTTACGAACTACACGACGCATGAAACCTACAACGCACGCTCAGTAGCGCTTCTTCGTAGGTAGTTTTTCGTACAGTTAGGGCGTTGATCTTACACAGCTAGTTCCGCACGTTACGATAGAATTTAATACGTGTATTACATTGCTGTTTTTTTTTCTTTTTGGTATTATCATACATTATTTTTCATACATCTCTTTTCAAAACTTTCTATTTTGCACCATCTTAAACCAGTCTCTTTTAAATGCGTCTAAGTCGTTACGCCATCTCTTTCTGGGCCAGCCTTGGCAACGCTATCCATCAGTAGGCACTTACTAGGTAGAGATTGCCTACCTATCGGGACCCATACGGCTAATGTGACCCACCCAATTCTACTTAATTTTGGCTTACATCAGACCTAAATCTTTAACGCCAATTTGGGAACGAAGTTGCATATTACGAGTAGATACACGATCCGTCCTCTCTTTATCCCTAAAATACTTCGTTATTTTGCTTTGAAAAGCTGGTCTTACATAAAAAAATATCTAAATAACAATAAAACCCGTATCAAAATCGGTTGCATAGACAAGGACTTAATTTTATACTGTTTAATAATTAAATATGAAGACGACAAACTAGGATCAGGTTAACAAATTGTTACGGCTGCGTAACAAATGAGACTAGATGTTTCTATTCCCTTGGAATGCTCAAACGACCTGTTATTTAGGAATGTTATATTAATCTAATTAATCTTCCAGCAAATTGCGTAGTACACGAATATTATTTTTAACTCATTTCGGAAAAGAGAGGTATTTTCAAATCTTATACTTATTTTTTTTTTTTTATAGTTTTATACAATAAAAATAAATTTCATAGCGATTGTACAGAGAAATAACAACTGAGTCCTCAAGAATGGCAACGCATGGGAGGTATCACGAGCGAAACAGTATACTCTGTTATGTCCGTGGTACTGCTCTTGTCTATAGATGACGGATGCCACTTTTCGTCAGGTGGGCCGTCAGCTTGTGTGCCATCCTAAATTGCATAAAAAAGATAAAGTCATTTAGGCACTATAAGGTACCAAACAAACAGAGACACTTTTACATTTATAACTTTAGTAAAAATCTTTTAAAACACTCCCTTAAGGACTTTCAAGGGATGCTAATAATAATTTCACTCTGTAGACATGAGTAGCGAAAATTTCCCATTGGTCTAACCTTGACCCGGCAGCTCCATTTAATTCCCCATGACCGACACGTATAATCAAGGTTAAGCAATATTTTGACAGTCATGCCTTACGCATTTAATCAAGCTATCTATTTTCTTCGTTCAACTTCCTCGAGATATGTATATATATTTTTTTATTTTTTTATTTCCAATTTTAGAGATGCGCTCTTGTTAGTGGAGCACTTGCCACTCTTTGCAGCTTTGCAGCGAGTGTCTTTACCTCTTGATTCTTGACGAGAAACTAACTTTCCCCTTGATCTGCCTGCTTTGACTACGCCTTAGTCTCTCCCTTCTTCTCTGAAAGGCTAGTTCCTTCTATTATAATGTTCATAAGTTCCTCGTATCGTATCAAGTGTCCCAACATTGGAGCAGTATGTACTTATATACTTTTAATAAATTCTTATATTTATGTCTGTTTGTCTTTTTCGCCTATACATATGATCAGTAGCATACATGGACGTAACTAAAATATACTGTGTCACCTATGACACCCCTCATGCATTGTCATTCTCGGGGACTATGGTGTTATGCCTCTGTACCACGTTATTTCACTACCACATCCCATTCATCGAACTGAAACATAGCCATGCAAATACGGCAGAAACACGAATGGGACATAGATACTCAAACGAACGACTTTTGTCCATAGTCTCCCTCTGGTCGGTTCTCTCTGCTTATCCTCTAATATCTCTTTCTGGTGTGAAGACAAATTGTATTTCTTTTCCTTTGGAAATAACGAACATTATTTTTATTAAGATATAGTATTACGTCCCAATTGGACAGCGATTCCTTGAAAAAGGCGAAAGCCTGTCACTGCCGAATTTATACCTGTACCTAGCAAAGAAAACCAATAAATCTAACAAGAGGGCTCTTTTACAGTAAACTTTTGGATTCAATAAAAAGTCAAATTTAATTTATGACAATTTTATTACGTTATTGTGAAAGAAGAGAAACTTCCACTGTGGGTCGCATAGTATTAAAATGAATCTTTACGACCCCATAAATAATTTATCTTCTATTGATATAAAAAAAAGGAATCACTAAATGTCTTGCAAAGCTCAAAACTCGAGATCGGTAAGAAAAATTCAGCTATTTTTCTTTTTCAAATATTCGTGGAAGTCCAAAGAAGAACTCTTGTAAAAAGAAATATTTTATTAATATCCGGATAAACGTAAAAACCCCATTTCTCATTTTCCCATACAATATGTAGCTTCAATCATTCCAATCAAACACTGACCTCTTAGCTTATGCCACAAAGATTTATCGATCTATAAAAAAAATTTGGTTAATTATAAAAGTCAGGTGAGTCAAGTCAGATGAGTCAATTAAAACAGTCAGATAAGTAAATTAATAAAATGAGAATAAGTAAGTTAATTAAAAAGTCAATTAAGTTAATTAAAAAAGTTAAATCGATCTATTTAAAAAATTTAACGCCCTACGAGTTTCTATTTTACAACATATGGGCATATGAAGACATTTACATTTAATAGAAAAATGTCACAGGAATATAATATTCCATGTGTGGAAAAGTTACCCGAGGGAGACTTTGTACAAAAGTCGATTGTTTGGACATCTCTGTCCCATTCGTGTTTTTACCGTGAAGCAGTTGTACGTGTATGGCTTTGTTTCGGTTTAAAGGGTGGAATATAGCAGAAATTTTACAGGGTACAGAGGAATAACAGTTGAGTTCTAAGGAATGGCAACGCATAGGGAATATAATGGGCGAAGGAGTATACTCTGTTATGTCCATGGGACTGCTCATGTCTATAAGCGATGGTTACTAAGTTGCATAAAATTGTGGCACAGTCAGTTCTTTTGATAAAACTGTTTAATATGATAAGATGAAACTTAGCGACTGAATCAATATTGATAAAGTTTTTTAATTTTTATCTATATTGATTCAGTCGCTAATATATCATCCTTGAACTGTTCACTGTTGAACATAAGCCTCCCTTGGGGGTTTTGCCAATAGTTGCCATGCTTGGCAGGCGGATTGGCAACCGCAGTTAGGCTTCAGAGATGTTTTAAGACGCTGCTGCCCACCCCTTGTCCTTCCTTAGTCACCTCTTATGACATACTTGGAAAAAAAGGGGTGGCCTATTCTATACCGGGATCACTTGGAAAAAAAATCTATATATACATATCTAAATTCGTTCAATCCAAACGAATAAACTTTTATTTGACGCACACAAATTGCGAGCTTTGTGCAGAAAAATTAACATTTTTATATGTAAATTTTTCACATATACCTAACAATGGAATTTTATATGTGGCCAATGAAAAGACGTCTCGAGGGGCGCTGATTGGATGCCGCCATTTCGTTGCGCTGCGGCGCGCGCTCCTATTGGCCCGTTCATAAGGGCAATGACCTTGCCATCAAATTTTCCTACCTTGAACTCGTGAACTGTCTGCGTTGATGGCAATTAATTGCATAGGACCCTTTACAAATAGTACATCATATTAATTTTACGTGGCGGAAAGGCTGTAATGAATTTCCTTACCCAATAGATGCTTTAGGTTTTCCAATCAATCCTATGTGTCAAATTGTAAGGATCTATCAAATAAAAGAGAATTAGATCAAAATATTGATCCAAAATGTACAGAAGAAAAAAATAAAAAAATATGATACTTCATTAATATCATAAGTACAGGCAAATTTTTATTATTATTATATTATTTTATTAATAATTTTAAATTATGTAATAAGGTTATGTTCCAAAGAAAACCGACTTTAATTGTGACAAAACAAATTAATTTAATAAAAAAACTGAATTAATAAAACCATTTTTAATAACTTTTATGAGATCAATTAAAAATATATAATATGTTCAGATTTAAAAAAAATCCAAGTCGGTTTAAATAAATGACGGTGTTCTGAGGTGAGACACATAAAAAAAATGACCGCCGAATTGAGAACCTCGACCTTTTTTTGAAGTCGTTTGAAAAACAGACGAATTGAGAACAATCTCCGTTTGTAATACTCAAAGTATGGCATAGGAATTCATTGAAAATCATACATTAGTACATAATAAGAGATCAGACGACGTATTAGCATCTGGGGATTTCGGGCTGGTCTGACGGCAGGCGAGGCTTATAGCGAAACCGTACCGTCGATATGGATGGTTTAAGCCGGATTAGGATCGATTTTTGGTGAAATAACTACGAGAAGGAACGCGTCATAACGTAGTCTTTTACTACCCGGTTTATATACTCAAAAGGTAGTGAGTTCGAATTTCAAAATTCGAGTTTATAAATAGCAAGCGTCATTTTAAAACTCTTACTAACTTACCAACTTTATACTGGCACACAGACTTGTAAGCACGGGGATTGTTAGTAATGGAGACTGAGAATCCCATTGCTAGCAATATACCCAGCAATAGCACCAGGTCGACCTCCTCGCGGTTCTCCCTGGAAACCATCATGGTTAATTCCTGACGAATTCATCAGCTATTCATTGAATTCAGGCTAACTGGCCTGTTTTCATTCTCATCTATCACTCTTCACTGGTGCTCCGCCAGCGTATCCCGTTAGCGCAGGCGGAGTTACCATACCATTTTCACCCATAAAAAAAAAAACTTGTAAGCACAGCTGCTTGATGGTAAAAACACGAGTAGGACAACGGTACCTTCAAAATCACTTTCACCTTCACTTCAAAATTACATTTTTTCCATGCATCTTACCAAATTTTAAATCTAAACTAATATTAAAAACTTAATATTAAATTAATCGTCATGTGGTCCCAGCATAGAATGAGCCACCCCTTCCTTTCTCTTGGGTATCATAAGAGGTGACTAAGGGAACTTAATGGTCAAAAGGTGGGCAGTAGCGCCCCTCTTAAAACATCAACTAACTGCGGTTGCCAACCCACTTGCCAAGCGCAGCAACTACTGGCAAAACTCACCTTAACGAGAAGGTTTTTCAGCAGCGGGCAATTAACGGATGATATAATAATAATAATAATAAAAAGAGAAAATGTTTAAGTCTTTTTTTATATGCTTTTATACATTGATTTTTAATAAAGAATTTTCGCAGCTTACAGATTTTTGGATTAAAAAAATTAAAACAGTGACAAATTGTTATTCAGTCATGTAATGATGGCAAGACATAACATAAAACATCACCAAACATCAGAAAACCAAGCAAAGCTTGGGCGTGTCTTTAGTTTACCAGAGGGAGACTTTGTACAAAAGTCGATTGCTTGGGTACCTCTGTCCCATTCGTGTTTCAACCGTGAAGCAGTTGTGTTTGCATGGCTGTGTTTCAGTTTGAAGGGTGGGATATGACGTGAATTTACTGGGTACAGAGAAATAACATCTGAGTCCTAAGGAATGGCAACGCATGGGGGGTATCATGGGCGAAACAGTATACTCTGTTATGTCCATGGTACTGCTCATGTCTATAGGCGACGGTTACCACTTTCCATCAGGTGAGCCGTCAGCTTGTTTGCCATTCTAAGTTGTATAAAAAAATATATACTAGCTAGTAGAAGTTACATTATTAAGCAAGCAGTTGGCAAACCATTCCCATCTACTTAATTCTACAGGATTAAAATTGTCCCAACCAGATGTCACCTGCAATAAGCCAGGTAACCCGCAAATGAAATATGTATATTCCCGAAGGTAGGGTCTTATGATATATGAACCACTGACTCGCATGGCTAAACATGGAGAGATTGTAAACGTGGAAATATCGTGTAATGGCCACTTTAAGTGGGCGTGTATAAATATTTAATGCTTAATGGCCTTTTAAGTGTACCTCGGTATTTTGGGTACTCTCGGGTCTTGTGGATTAAGAAAGGTGATAATTATAGGGAATGAGTAATTTTTTTAATTGTATTTTGTAATTTCCGTATGATCCCAGCATAGAATAGGCCTGCATGAAAAAAAAATACAAGTATAGCCGTTAACTGTCCACTGCTGAACATAAGCCCTCCCATAAGGGGAGTTTTGCCAGCAGTTGCCACGCTTGGCATGCGGGTTGGCAACCGCAGTTAGGCTTTAGAGATGTTTTAAGAGGGACGCTGCTGCCTATCCCTTGACTATTAAGTTCCCTTAGTCGCCTCTACAACACACAGGAAAAGAAAGGGTCTCATTCTATGTCGGGACCACGCGATAACACTACCATGGTCGCTTGAAAAAAAAAACCTAAAACCTCACTTCTATTTTGTTACAAGGTGCCCAAAAAAACTTGGAAAAATAAATAGTTGACTTGAAAAAATAAATAATTGACTTGACTACACTGCCAATGTCAATAAATTATATCTTTTTTTTTTTAATTTCTTTAATAAAAGCAACCAGGGCCCACAAAATTTTAACAATATTAATTTGTACTAACTATAAATTATTAAATCAAATTTTAAATTAATTTTTAAACAAGTAATTAATAATAATTCACGTGAATAAAGTCATTAAAAATAACTACTACACAACAAAATAAATTTTCCAAAACAATCGAACAGTTATATTAAGTTAATGTAATGACAACTGGATTAACTTATTTATCATTTTGGTCGAGAAAGCTCGACTAGTTTAACTATACATACATGTGAAAATAAAAGCAGTAAAAGTTCGCTTAGTGGATGTAACATCGTAAAAAGCAAGAGTTTAGTTAAACGTTTATGTACCTTTTGACTGTTAAAAACATAAATACATTAATAGTTATGTAAGTACGTACTCAGTTATATATTTATTTATTTTATTTATTTACACTTTATTGCATCAAGTAAAAAGAGAAATAAGAAATACAGTAAATATTAATGAGAAGTGATACAAAAGGCGGCCTTATCGCTAAGCAATCTCTTCCAGACAACCTTTGGGTAGAGGACATTGAGAAAAAGACTATAAGTTTTTTTTTTTTTTTATTTAAAACTACCTTTTAAAATGAATGAATGAACCAAAATGATGAAATCATAAAGAAAGCAGTTCTCAATTTGATTTTTTTTTATTTGTTACCATATAACTGCGTCAGTTATAAACCGATTTGAATTTTTTTTTTTCTGAAATTTACAAATTTTATCAAAATCGATACAATAGTTTGTCGTTAGTCGTATGGTCCCAGCGTAGAATGAGCCAACCCTTCCTTTCTCGTGGATGTCGTAAGAGGCGACTAAGAGTATTTAATAGTCGAAGAATAGGCAGCAGCGTCCCTCTTAAATCTTTGGAAAACCCTAACTGCGGTTGTCAATCCGCCAGCCAAGCGTGGCAACTACTGGCAAGAGCATCCAAGAGGGAGGCTTATGTTCAGCAGTGGACAGTCAACAGCTGGCATGATGATATTGATGAGTTTAGTTTTTACTCAAAAACAACTGGTTTCACCACAATGGAAGTCAGTTTTTTTTTTAAACACAATCTTATATAAGGGAATGAATGAATGAATTGCTCTTTTGAATAAATGAAAACTCATTTTTGTTGCCCTCAAGAAAAAAAACAATTACATAAAATATGTACACAAGAATAAAAAAAAATAAAATTACAAAAAGCAAGGTAAAGAGGCAACAATGGGCGGACTTATCGCTAAATAACCATCTCTTCCAGGCAACCTTAGGATTTAATTTCATTAAATTTTACGAATAAAATCAAGTTTTCATAATTCATCTTGTGGCTATGGCCATTCTAAAATGACGTCATTTATTTTATTATCTTTTACTATTACGTTATCTAATCTTCATGTTTTTTTTATTTGATACCCGTATTGATGAGATTTACAAAATGTACACCGTCCGCCATCTTATGACGGCGGCCATTTTGAAAATATCACAATATTGGGTATTGCATATAGTGTTACCAGAACTAAAGGAGTATTTTAGCATTTTTTTAAAGGGTGAAAATGGAATGTTAACCCGCTTGAGCTATCAATATACGCTAGCGGAGTACCAGTGAGAGATGATAGGTAAAAATGGAAACAGGCCTTTTAGCCCATCGTAACGAATTCGGCAAGTATTCACCACGATGGTTTCCAGGGGGAACCACATGTAGGTCGACCTGATTGGGTATATTGCTAGCAATGTTGAATTCTTCACGATAAGCCAACTGACCTGCCTTCATTATCACCAATCACCCCACCAGTTTATATCGATAGCGCAGACGCGTTACCATTCCATTTTCACCCATTAAAAAAAAAACCAAAACACCCAGACTCGTGACAATTTAAAAAATGACCCGATTGGGAATCGAACCCGGAACCTCATTTACACAAAACATTGCAACAACAAGCCCATCGCTACACTTGAAACAACGCCAGCCATATTGCATGTTAAATAAAACCTTGCACAATACACTTTTTTATTCAGTCGGTTAAAAATAATTGTAAAATCAATCTACAACCAAACTATTTGCATTAAATATTAATTAATTAAATTATTCATTAAATATTTTTTTTAAAAGCCGAGTCACCTACAATAATAATTGATACCTATTTGATAATGGCCAATAAAAATAATCGTAAAAACCAGGAAGTCGTTTCACGAGTAGTTTCGAAATTGCGTGTTTGAATTGTCGTTTAACTTGGCAAAAAAGGCAGCCGTTGAACTCTTACAGTCTTAGTACATAAATAAGATAGATAGATAGATAGATAATTTATTCACATTACTTACAACACACAAATTACAATAAAAAAACATACACATAATACACAGTAAAAGAGATAAAAGAATGAAAATAAAAAAGCACAAAATAGAAAAAAAAAAAAAAACAAAATATATAAACTAACAATCTCCCTTCTTTCGCTTCCTTCATGCGTGTGCCATAGTAACATAAAACGGTCACATTTGAGTTTATTGCCTTGCCCTTAAAATAGCAAAACACTGATATTCTGCTGTGGCCAAGAGTCAGTTGCGAAACATTAAAAATAACAATAAAAAGAAATATAAATAAAATACAGTGTATGTATCCATTACATTCGCCCCCATTTGATATTATATTCTAACTAAATAAATAAATAATAAATAAATAAATAACAGATACCATTAGATTTTTTTTTTACAACACGGGGGGCAAACGAGCATGCGGCTCACCTGATGGTAAGTGACTACCGCCGCCCATGATCACCCACAACACCAGCGGCATTGCAGGTGTGCTGCCGGCCTTTTAAATAATTTAATTTTTAGATGAGGGTAGTCAGAGATCACTTTCATATTTCAATAACATAAAACACGTACGTACGTACGTATATAAACAGGGTTTAACAAAACTCTTGTGTAATTGAATTTATTCGGTGAAATTTTGTGTTCAAAAATCTATCAAATTTTATAAGAAATGTTTTACCTTTCTACTGCTGAACATAAGCCTCCCTCGTAAGAAGTGAGATTTTTCCAATAGTTGCCACGCTTGGCAAACGGTTTGGCAACCGCAGTTAGGCTTTGATGCGGTTTTAAGAAAGACGCTGCTGCCCATCCATTTCTTACTTTAAACAACTTTTATTAAAAAAAAAAACATGTAAACCTTCTGTAGTAAAGGTTTTCCCAAGAGACTACAGCATAGGGTTCTTCAAAAGGGAGGTAAAGAGATTTCTTCAGGGTCGGCAACGCACGCGTAATACTTCTGGTATTGCAAGCGTTCATGGACTACAGTAACCACTTACCATCAGGTGGGTCGTATGCTTGTTTGCCACCTCAGTGGTATAAAAAAAAATTATGTCTGTAGACGATGGTTACCGTCCATCCGGTTTTTTCCATCAGGTGGGCCGTATGCTTGTTTGCCATTGTAAATATCATAAAAAAGATTTCTAAACATGTATTAAACACCTGTCTATCGTGGTTTTAATATTTCTGTGGTAAGACCAATATTGGCTGAGGTGTAATCGTAGTAAACCTTCCGTTTCAACCAAAATAGATGTTGCAAAACATGTTGTTTCACGTTTTCTTTAACAATTATTGTGAAATTTACGCTAAAAAAGAACACTTTTTATACATATAATTTATTTTTGGTTTGGTTTGGTCATTTGGAGAGGATGGATGAAAGAAGAATTACGAAAGAGATTTATGGAGCAAGAATGAATGGAGATGTCGGTAGGGGCCGCCCTAGACGGACGTATGTCGACCAAATAGGCGACGTGCTGAAGACGGGCCAAATTAAAAGTACCCGCAACCGGCGAGCGTGTATGAAAAGATTGATGAATGTGGAAGAAGCGAAAGAGGTTTGTTTGAATCGAAGCATTTGGCGTTCCATTGTTTCTACCTACCCTAATGGGAGACAGGCGTGACAGATATGTATGTATGTATGTACTTTTTATACATATCACAATATGTTTATAGGAGACGTATTATTTATCTAAAATTATGTACAAATAGATCTAATAATTTTTCTTGTTAGCGTTTTTTTATAAGTATTCCAAAATATTCATATTATTTTTAAATTCAATATAAAAATTCATACAAGTATAAGTGGTACACTGAATGCTTCCATTTCCACCAATAAATCCCTCAAAGCGCAAAAGATGGCGCTGTCTCGTCGCGTGTTTAGAATGGAAGGCACAAAATTCTTTGACGTTAAATTTAGGCTAAAAATATAATTGTATTTTTTTTTTAATATAGACAAACAAAGTCACGGGCACTCCTAGTCTAAATTCACATGAGCATATATCTACATTTATATATTTTCGCCTTGCAATAATTTTAAATTACCCAGACCATCCCCGTTACAGTGACATCATAGACATAGTCCACGCCTATCTCATGGTCTTCGGTCATGGCGATCCTACAGTCCAAATATAGATTGTAGAAGCGGGGCCGCCACGCGAGCGGTCAGTGCGTGCGCCCCAGACTGCTGTATTGATCCCACCACACCACCACCTGCCGACCACCACTCCCACTCGCTCCAATTCTTTCTTCTAGTCGGCCATCGCCCCGCGCCACGATACCACTTTAAAACACAAACAATAAGATTCCAATTTCAAAATTTAAAAAAAGAATAACTCCTTTGGCGCGTAACTATTGCGTGTTCGCCATAGCCAAATTTTTATACTTTTTTTTTTATATATACAATGTACCGCGAGTGTTGTAACTTTTTTACTGTGACCGTGACATGAGACGTGAGAACAGACTTTTTTACTGCCCAAAAAAGTGTTACAAGCCTTGTCAAGTATGATTGCGCGCGCAATGAAATGACTCAGTGCTCTTGTTCTAGATATACGACATTATCTCGAATTACAGTTTTAAATTTCATAATCTTGTGACTGTTACGTCTAGAATACATTGGAGCCGGTGTAACTGAAATCTTTGTCAAATTTCCACGTCAAATTTAATCCGTCCGAATTTCTTAACTTTAAAAAAAAACTTTTTAGGTATAAAAATACAGTAGTAGCATTCTTCATTGCTGTTTTAATTGAACAAGAAACTTGGGTGCTTTCACCGTGAAAATCCGCTATTCTAACAATATAATGCAAAAAAGGAAATTATTATCAGCGATGTATCAGATGCAAATTATCACGCCACTTATCTAGACCCCTCTGCATAGAGCGGGAGAGCTAATACCCCTATCTCAGCTGGCACACTAACCCGGTAGAGCATTAAATAGTCCATTTTCTTACTGTCCGCGACTATGTATCAGCTGATTGAGTCACATTGTTAATCGCATGTCTACGAAATGCGAAAAGTGTCGGAAAAATGAAAAATTTGCATAGCGTCACGTCACTGTGATTAGTAATCGCTTGTATAGCGCGCCGCGCCGCCGATAGTCGTCGGCGCAGACGCGCCGCGAACGCTGGCAATTACGTTTTTTGCGGCAACAATTTTCTAAATTCAAAAGACGGCCGCCGTACTGGCTGGAAAACGAAACGAAACGAAGCTTAGTGTTCTCTTTTTTATGTTATTATAAACAAAAATAGTGCGTTCGAATTTCGAATTATATTTTTCCTTTTGTAAAGTGTCAGTTTTGCAACTGTTTCGAAACGACCAGTGTTCGAGTGAGATGGTGTTATCCGCTTTTTAGACATAATGGAAAGAAGTGTTTTGGCAGACACGAGACACGTACATTGGGCTTCTGAAGTGAGTATACTGTCTGTACGTTGACCTTTGACCTTTCTCCGCGTATATTATATAGAAAACAAAACGTAGCGTTTAAATGGTATACATGCCATTATTTAGTAAACTCAACATTTAAAAATATATTTACTAGTTTAATACTACTTAGAACTTATTATACTACCAAAAGTAATAAATGCAGGATATTAACGACATGTCATCTCCTTAGATTAATCTTAAGTCATAAAGTCATATAAAGAATTTTGTAAACGTTTTCTGATAATATCAGTTCTTTAAGAACCCTATAAATAACTATATAAAAGACATGATTTTATATGTTTAACAACATAGTAAGGCCCTTATTCTAGTCAAATATACACAGAGGCATAACACCTTAGTCCTCAGGAATGGCAATGCATGAGGGGTGTCATGGGCGACACAGTATTATGTTATATACGCGACCATTACTAACAATCCCTTTCCCCCCTGTTATTAGTATTATATAGTTATTTAATATATTCTGTAGTTTATAATTATCTTTATAAACATGTCAGTAAGTTTGTTTGTTACTTCTTAACGGCTTAATCAATCACTATGAAATTTAGTATACAAGTATTATATAGGATGAAGAAGGAGCTAGGTTTTCAAAGCGTGTTAAACAAATAAACTTGCTTTTACCAGAGGAGAAAGGGATTGTTAGTAATGGAGACTGAGAATCCCATTGCTAGCAATATACCCAACTAGGTCGACCTCCTCGCGGTTCCCCCTGGAAACTATCATGGTTAATTCCTGATGAATTCATCATGATGGGCTAACTGGCCTGTTTTCATTCTCATCTATCACCCTTCACTGGTGCTCCGCCAGCGTATCCCGTTAGCGCAGGCGGGATTACCATACCATTTTCACCCATCAAAAAAAAACTTGCTTTTACTGACCAATTTTAATAAGAATACATATGTAAAGAGATCCTCGTCATTTCAAGTCAATGACACGCTGAAACAGCATAGAACCCGACAGATTTGTCTTACGCTCAACTGTAATTTATCTTATCTATGGAACAATGGAACATTCCCTTTTGTTACGGTTAGATGCAGTCTGCCCCTCGGGGGTATAATTGACTTAGTGTAACGGTTGAATAAATATGATGCAATATACTTCTTGCTTTTTAATTAAAAATAAATTGTAAAGTTTTTGTTTTGTTTTTTTTCATCTGATGTCTAAATTTGCTTCGCAATAAGTAATACTTGATTAGCAAATTTATATACAACCTTCAGTGACAGTACTGTCATAGCCATAAAAGTTTGGATAAATTAAAAAAAGAATAATATTAAATGTAGTCATTCCGCGTTCTAAATTCAAATAGTTTAAATCTAATATACCTATCTGTGGAACACCTCATCGTTCTTTAAGGCACATTAATCATTGATAATGGCTTTATTTATTGATTTTTTTTTAAACAAGTTTTTTAATTATCACTATGAAAGTCTATTTTTTGGCTGAAGTCTCCAGGCCAAAGCGTGGAAAGAGAATGCCAAGTACTATCTTTAATCTATAGACCAAAATTTAATAAATGAAATGTCTCTGTTCTTACGAAGTAAAATCTACGTCTTTTAAACTAGTTGTATCCCGCGACTTTGTCTGCGTAAATCGACACACAAAGTATCTATGTGCTAAATTAGGATATAACCTAGTCCTGTACTAAATAAATTATCTAACTAAATAAATAAATTCAGCTGCCCGCTAACAACATGCTTTCTAACTGCATTGGCTTGATTGGAAGAGATCTCTGACAGAGATAAGTCCACCCTTGTTCACAACATTTATAAATGCATTAACAATATAATTCACAAGTGCAATAAAGAATATATTATATATAAATTTCACATTATACGTGATAGTGTAACAAACAATCTTATAATCTTTCCCATTTATAAATTTTAATATTCTATAAAACCCATCGATAATTGGTCCCGCATCTCATTTACGCGGTGAATCATTCCCTTATTGAGGTCATCACAGCTAGGATACCTAGTAACGACTTGTCTTTCATGTCGTAAAATGTTTAGAAAACTTCGTGTACCTAAGCGACGTCTTAACACTGACAACGGAGCGACAACCGAGGTCGTATGAAGTCACAATTGTTCTAAAAACTATTGCATTTAATAAGAAACTAATTGATTTTCTCGTGCCACAGTATGCAATTATAATAATAGGGATGGGGGGGGGGATTGTTAGATTTGTGTTGAAATGGCCATATATATATATATATATATATATATATATATATATATAATACATATTTTGTAAGGCCTTAAAATTACCACTGCCCTTGGAAGAATGTTTTGCACGCTGTTAACAAAACATGTTAGATCTATACAAATCCTATAATAAATAACCAGTATGTTTTTATACCTATTATTTTTTTTTATTTTATTTTATACAAAAATCCACAGCTCTTAAAAAATAACTTATATGCTAAGTCTCTTCTGAATACAGCCAATAACGGATTTAATTTATACAAACAAAAATTTTTATTCCAAAGCGAGGTAGGCAAGTTAGAGTGGGTGTATGCAAGTAATATAAGCACATGTATGAAAGAAACCATATATAATAATGAGTGTCCATAAAGTTAAGTTAATTGATATATAAAATAATTAAAATCCACGTTGCTAAAGTTCAGATATTGACAGCAATGATTAAATAATACAACTTCAAGGTCACCAATTGTAAAGAAGGTAAATATATGTATATTATTTATAATATACATATGTTTGCAAATAAATTTATTTTTATCTACACACTAGGCTCCGAGCAGCAGTCTAATAAATTTGCCTAAAGATGCCTCGTTTACAAGTGAAACACGTGGTGCAAAACGTGCGTAAGCGAAATGGTAGTCGGAGATTGATGGCTTAAATAGAAGATTGTGGAACTTCTGGTAATAATAGTGCTGGTCAGTCTTCGAGTGTTGGCAGTCACACACATACTAATGGTAGCGGATTTAAACATATCATGGGCGAAACAGTATACTCTGTTATGTCCATGGTACTGCTCATGTCTTTAGGCGACGGTTATCACTTTCCATCAGGTGTGCCGTCGGCTTGTTTGCTATTCTAAGTTGTTTTAAAAAAAAAAGATAATATCTAGTTTAGTAAAATAAAAAATAAATAGTAAAATTAAGCATCTCCTCCATTTTTTAAGTTGGTACCTTGTACAGCCTGCCGGAGCTGATGCACTTACCAACTTACGCACTACACTGGATGCTTCTCCGATATGAAAATGAAAAATAAATTCAGCAGGTCTACCATGAAATGAAAATTCGAATTTTCAGAAAGAATTTCGTAATTTCGTCCATACCAAAATCGGTACAGTAAATGGAGCTTAACATTTCATTCGCCGTAAATCCTATCTCACAAAAATCCAAAGGAACGATATTTTAACATTTTTAATATTTTTAAACGGTATAATATATCATGTACTTTATTGCACAAGAAAATTTTGTACAAATGGCGAGTTTAATGCATTCTCTACCAGCTAACCATTGGGTAAAAACAGAAAGTGTATGAAGGGCAGATGTGGTGAGAAATATGTGTACGATTATAATACACACATAAGAAATGCATGAATATATATGTATATATTTAAATATATATATATATATTAAAACAACGATAAATACGTATTTCGTTCGGCCCCAAAATGTCGAGAAACATTTCACGGTAGACCTTCTGTTTGTGTAACCTACCTTTCTACAGATACCTACATTAGCATTCATGCCCATTCTATTCTAGAACTCTCTAAATAATATAAATCCGTTAAATATTCCAATCAATTGTAAGCAAATGCGCTAGTTATACCGGCCCATTGTTCGCCAGCTTCACGTGACTTTCCCAAAGTGAAACAGAAATGATCGATTGTTCTCACGGTTTGTATAAACAATGTGAGTAGCAAACACTAAAAAGTAGGGGGGAAAGGGATCGTTAGTAATGGAGACTGAGAATCCCATTGCTAGCAATATACCCAACCAGGTCGACCTATACGCAGTTCTCCCTGGAAACTATCATGGTCAATTCCTGATGAATTCATCGTGACGGGCTAACTGGCCTGTTTTCATTCTCATCTATTACCCTTCACTGGTGCACCGCCAGCGTATCCCGTTAGCGCAGGCGGGGTTACCATACCATTTTCACCCATCAAAAAACATTAAAAAGTCTATTTTACCCGCAAACTGTACATTATTTATTTATTATAATACATTCATGTACGTAATATAGAGTCATTACAATGTTCTTATATGGAGTAAGTAAACGGACCCTGTTTGGGTATAGCAAAATTATATTGATAGGTAGCTAATATTTATTTATTTATTTATTTATTCATTTAGGCACAGCAACAGTTATACAATTCACATTACATTGACTATAATAAGCTTTATAACTAATTGTTTTAAAATTGTACACCGTTTATTGCTACGCACAGCGTTAGCTTATACTAGTTTCAATTTTATATACAATAACAATAGATAATGAGAACAATTATATGTTAAATTCAGACACTTCTTTTGCCATTTTAAGAACACCATTTAAACTGTAAGCAAAAATGTCCAATTCATTACAATTATTGTATTATTATACATGCATTAATATCAATTTGGATGTTTTTTTTGCAACTTATAATGGCAAACAAGCTGACGGCCCACCTGATGGAAAGTGGTAAGCGTCGCCTATAGACACGAGCAGTACCATGGACATAACAGAGTATACTGTTTCGCCCATGAGACTCCCCATGCGTTGCCATTCCTGAGGACTCAGGTGTTATTCCTCTGTACCCTGTCAATTCACTGCCATATCCCACCCTTCAAACCGAAACACAGCCATGCAAACACAGCTGCTTCACGATAGAAACACGAATGAGACAGAGGTACTCAAGCAATCGACTTTTGTACAAAGTCTCCCTCTTAAAACATCTCTAAAGGGGGGGGAAAAGGATTGTTATCAATGTGGAGGTTAGTCTCCATTGATATCAAT